GATTTTTCATTGTTTTAAGTCAACAGTTAAATTACACCCTGTATACCAGTAAGAGTGAAACCTTCATTCATTGCATGAACAAATGTTGCAAAAATTGATCTCTCAGGTACTCAGGTTGAAAACATATTGAATATTGGTGTGTTCTGAAGCTAGAAGTAGAAAATTTAATAATAATATAATATATATATGGGATAATTTAAAATCGTAAAAATTTGTCCACGAACATAAAATCATGTGCCAAAAACTATTAATATCATACTGAAAAATAGATTTGATATTTTGGGGACTCAATATTTTTAAGAAGATTATTTGTTTTGATTCACTCTGATACTGATTCATTCGATTGAAGAGTATCATTTCTTCTAATTTGAAATGAATGATTCAGGTAATGTGATCGCATTTCAAAATAGAATTGACTTCAGGAGTGTGCATTTTATTGTGGTCGAACAAGGGTACTTATCAATAGAAAAATTTTACAACTCACCAACCATCTTCAAGGTTTAGCCTCTTCAAGGAGTTGTGGCTCCCATAGGAGTAATTTTTCGACCCATGCACCTACCCCTATTTTCAGTCAAAGAATTCACCTAATCATGGTACACCCAATAGATAAAAATCAAAATTTTCTGTATTCTGAGAGGACGTACAGGTTCTCTGGATTCTGACCCTCAATTACCCGATGATTTAAATCCGTATGAACAGGGAATCTAAAAAAATAACGACAAACAAAAACATTGATGTGAATGCTACTCATAGATCTTGAGAACTTTGATGTGTATTGTGTAGCTGATGAATAATCCATATCCACATTATTTCTCAATTGAAACTGAAATGAATATCGCTAGAGATATTAAGAAAGATTAGAGAATCAGGTAAGGTTTGGTATATACAGGGTGCCCGTTTTTCGAGCTCCACCATGGGGATCTCAGTTATTATAAGAGATACGAGGTTGGTTGAATCAAGACAAAGTTGCGCAATTTGATGCTGATCAAAATGCCGATTCAAAAAATTCGAAATTTCGAATACTCCCGAAGATATTTGGAAAAAACCGAATATCCGCGATTTCGTTTTTATTTTTTTCTGACTTTATTCGGAGTGATAGTACAAAATGAGTGACATATTAGCATTGCCACTTTGTCTGCTCTATCCAATGGCATTAATAGATTCATGATCCAACGTTTCGTCTTCGAGGAGCCATCATCAACTTTGTATTTTCAAATGGTCGAGAAGAAAATGTTTGTTCCCAAAGAACTCTAATTCCGATTCTGAATCCAACGACATATAATACTTCAAAATTATCCGACGTTTCGAACCAAAAAATCAGTTTTATTTAATGATGGTTATGACGACAACTTGTAGCGAAGGAAAAACGGCTATGAAAATGTCAAATTTATTTTGGTTTATATCTTTTAGTAAAATCAGAAAGAAATCATTTCATAGGATTAGAAACTTCGAGAATCGCTTTTTGTTGAAAACTAAAATAGAGAGACCAAGATGAATTCAACTTGTTGGTCTATCTCTATTTCAGTTTTCAATAAAAAGTGATTCTCGAAGTTTCTAATCCCAAGAAAAGATTTCTGATTTTACTAAAAGAGATAGACCAAAATGAATTTGACATTTCCATAGCCATTTTTCCTTCTCTACAAGTTGCTTTCATCAGACGTTTCGTTTCCTCGTAACCATCATCAAATATTACTGATGATGATTTTTTGGTTCGAAACGTCGGATAATTGTAAAGTATTATATGTCGTTGGATTCAGAATCGGAATTAGAGTTCTTTGGGAACAAAAATTTTTTTTCGACCATTTGAAAATACAGAGTTGATGATGGCTCCTCGAAGACGAAACGTCGGATCACGAATCTATTAATGCTATTGGATAGAGCAGAAAAAGTGGCAATGCTAATATGTCACTTATTTTGTACTATCACTTCAAATAAAGTCGGAAAAAAATAAAAACGAAATCGCGGATATTCTGTTTTTTTTTTTCAAATATCTTCGGAAGTACCTATTCGGAATTTCCAAACTTTCGAGGCAGCATTTTGATCAGCATCAAATTGCACAACTTTGCCCTAATTCAACCAACTTCGTATCTCTTATAATAACTGAGATCCCCATGGTGGAGCTCGAAAAACGGGCACCCTGTATAAGAATATAATTTTTCTACAAACGTCAAAAAATGACAAGGTTCGCGCATTGATAACAAATTGCGAAGTGACACTTTTTTACAGTTTCCTTCGTTACCATGATACCTTGCACAAAACAATGCGCGAAGTAAAACAGTGCGCGAAGTACCTACTCCGCGCATTGTTATGTAAAATATATGAGATATTTATTTTATATTTCAACTTTATAGTCCTCAATCGAGCAAACATCCACGAAATCATTTTTTTCTGAATGTTCAACAATAACTTTGTTTTATCTCTTCGAGCGCACGAAAGGAAATTCCTATTATGTTCGTGGAACATCGTGCGTACCTAGGAAGGATAGGGGAGGCATTTCAAGCCAGTTCAATCCAATTTTTTATATCAAGCTAAGCATATTTTTACTTGAGAACTATATTTTTTGACGCTTGTTGTTTGTAACTAGCGCGCGAAATACTTTGCTCATCTCGACTATTTTTTTAACTCGGCTACGCCTTGAAAAGGAAAATTCTCCGATAAGTTATGAACATACAAAAATGGATATATATTTATATAAAGCAATACATTGAGAATTCGTATTCTCTATGTGATGAGAATATCAACTCATTTTCGTTAAAAAAATCAGATCTCGATCACCAAAGTAGCATTTCGCGTTCTAGATACAAAAATAACTATTTATTCATTAAAAAATAACCACAAAAAATGAGAAAAAAAAAATGTTTTCTATTATTCATTTATTTTTTCATTTTACCATAATGACCTGGTTGATTTGAGGATGGGAAAATGACACCAATACACAGTTATCGTTGCATTTTGTTTTGTTATATTTCCACTAGTTCCCTACACAACTGAAGAGAACATGCCATATTTCTTCCCTATCCTTGCTTTTCCCTTCCCTCGTGTATGAGACACTTTACTGGATGATAGTGGATCAGGTCTTCTATCGTTGGTTTATCATACACAATTCTAAAACGATTTTCTACAAATCAGTGTTGATGACTGTCAGATGTAAATATCCGTAAGTATTCTTTTCTTCATATTTATTGTAGAATTGCTTTTAAACAAACATTTTTATCAGATTATGCATTCCCTTCTTCTTTCTAGATTTATCTTGAAATCGATTGATCAAATTTTGCTAATCTATATGAGATTATGAGATTAGGTAAGTAGATAGATAAGTAGAGTTGGCTCATGATTCGAACAGACAAATAAGATAATACTGATTGAAAATAAAAGATACATCGAAAACACCAGATATGAAAAAACATCTGATAGTATATTGGAAGAGATTCATCTAATTAAAAAATATAGGAAGCAAATGTATACAGGGTGTCACATTTGAGAAAACGAAACTCACTAAACAACTCTCGAAATATGGTTTTTCATGAAAAGAATTACAAAATGGATTAATATTTTATGAATCATTGAAGACTTCGAAAAACTGGAATGGAATTTTTTTTTCAGATTTTATTGAATATTTCAAAATTCTTGAGAGGTAATACACTGAAATTTGGAAGGCAGTCAACTATAAGAAGTGTGCATAGATAACAGGTCTCATCAGTTCAATCGATATACAGGAAGATACAAATTTAGCATTCTGATTGGAGAAAATCCATAGAACTTTTTTTGAAAACGCCACTTTCAATATTTTATTATCTACTTGAATAACAAAATCAATTATCTATCTTTTTTCTCACTACATTTTTTTTTTTAATTTTGCTTAGTTTACGAGATATCTGAAAAAATTCTTTCGGAGCCCCTTCATTTCATCCATAGTCCAAGATATCAGAGTTATCGTGTTCTGCAGGTTTCTTCCTCCTTCATGTTGATATTTTGGTCACGTATCCATGTTAATTATTCAATAGCCTTTTCATCATACAGGCTGGCCCATTTTCAAGTTGACAGGGAGAGTTTGGGTGATAATAGCGTAGATACGAAAAAATGCTGAGATCGGTCGATTTTAGTTTGCACCTCCTGCTAACAATCAAAGTCGTTTGCAGGTTTTTTCCGTTCTGTTGAGAGTTGAGAGTGTTGAAATTAATGTACGTTGTTCTGGGACACCCTGTATAAATATTCTACTGAAAAAAGTAGCTACAATAAAAATTCGCAGTTTTTGACATTTCAAAAAAATTCAAACATTGTTTGAAAATGACATTCGGACTGGTACGGGAATGCAGAGAAGAACTTAATCGTTAGATTCGTTCGACATACGGACATTGAATATTGTCAACTTGTCTCCTTCCTATCTACCATACTAGTCACTAAAACTTCGCGATTATGATTTTCCGGAATTACTTGAGGTCCTTAGATGAGTTTACCTCCGATCATGGCCATCCTACATGCAATATCAAAAGTGGCGAGAAAATTTAGTACCTACGCGTACTATTTCTGAAAATGTCATATTTTCATTCAGAATTGGCTCAGAAACTGAAGATGTTATATTATACAAGGTGTTTCATTCAAAAATTCGAAAGCTGGAGCAATTTCCGGTGAAACCGGAAATGAACGGGAACTGAAAAATATGCGTAAACTTTCCTCTTCCCCTACCATATACCGTTATTGAATTTCATTTTGATATACCGATTGTTCGTGAAGTTATGGCTTGTCTAATAGATTTGTTGACACCCGGTATGCAACCAATAACGACTTATATTGTAGCTGCCAAGAAGAATTCGAAAAAGTTTGAGTCCACATTGACCAAATATTCTACCTGCCAATATGAATTTGAAGTAGTTCGAGCCAATATTACACCAATCAAAATATTATCACTTATATTGGACCAATATCGTTCCATTGGCCCAATATAAAATCAGAATTCAACCATTATGCTACCTGGAAAATATTTCTCTCGAAATTTTCAGTTCCCCTGAACCCGAATCGCCCAACGCGCAAGTTCACTGCGCAGAAACCAGAAAACGACGAGGAAACCGACAAAGAGATGCAGAAACTGCGCGCAGCGAGGGCTGCCAGGCTGGCCTTCATCGAGGCCGAGGGAAAATCAGAAAGGGCCTCAGCAGACGTAGAAGACGCCGTCAGAGCCAAAAGGGCCAAAGAGGCTGAGAGGTTAGCCGAGGAGCAGTGAGTGACATAACTATTTTGATTGCTGGTTGATTCACCCTTGTATGAGATGCGTGCAATAAGAGCTGTCAGATGACCGACCCTGAAACATTGAAACACAATCTCAAGTTTTTCACAATTATTTTGGCATAGGAATCGTGTTTTTTGGCTATTCATTAATTCGCGCATGCCATCACATTGTGCTGTTTGAAAGGTTTGAAGGAATCCAGTTGATACATTATAATTTGAAAGTAAGTATCTACTATATAGTCACTCACATATAGTTTTCATTTTGAAATTTGGTAATTTCTCTGATTCCTCATCGGAATCCTTCTGCAATAGGAGCTAATAGAAATACTCGTGAAATTTCTAAAAGAATGCAAGAAGGTTGGATTCATTTTTTTTTTATGTTCTGGTTCCCACGAAAGAGAATATCCTGTAATGTTCAGAGAACATCGTGAGAACCAAGGGAAATAAGGTAGGAATTGATGTTTCTCTTGAATTTCTGGAGGTTATATGCCTGAGGGGAACACCTCCTTTGCCAATGTCTTCCAGAGCCTCGCTGTTCGTTGGATAAAAGAGTTTTTGGAGAGAGAGGTTCTGCAGGTCTCCTAAGTGACCACGAAGGGGTGCGAAGCCTCAACTCGACGGGTTAATCTCGCGAGGACTGCCAAAGGAGGAACAATTATTGTTGATATTTCAAAAGCGCATCGTCCATGAAGATAAAATAGAGCCAGATCGCCAACTTTTCTACGGTGTTCCAGAGAAGTGAGAGAGTTTGTGAGCGAGGCATGACCCACGAGACGAATTGCCCTTTTTTGGACAAAATCCAACAGTTTCAAGGTATGTTTGGGTGCTGCACTCCAAATATGGGAACGGTATTCCAGGACAGGTCGGATATGTGCCTTATAGATCATAAGCAGCTGACTGCAAGTGAGATAGCTCCTGGCCCGAAACAGGAAACCAAGTTTTTGGCATGCAATTCTAGCAATTGATTTTAGGTGATTTTCCCAAGAAAAGTTATCGCTGATAGTAATAAGCATCGAAATGGATGTCTTCGAAGGTATGGTTACTCCTGACAAGCTAATGTTGAGCACAGTGAGATCGGCTTTTCTAGACAAAAGGCATGCTTGTGTTTTGTTTGCATTGAAATCTACCAAATTATTGGATCCCCATTTGAGAATTGTTACCAAGTCTATATTTATGTTCTAAATGTCAATGCAATCAAACGGGAATACTGGTCTGACATGCTGACGAAATATGATCGTGTGTGTTGTAGACATTTTCAATCTGTTAGTATTAGCAGTATCAGCTTCTATTGCAGGAGTGGCAGAAGGAATTTTAATAAGAAATGACAAAATTTCATAATGAAAACTTTCTGAGATTACTATTTACCTGAAAAATCATATTCCTTCGACTCTAGCTGCATTTTTTGTGCATTGTACAACAGCACAATGAGAGGGCATGCTTGAATTAATGAATACCTCAAAAAACGGTGAAAAACTATCTCAATCCTCTGATTTCTCTGTGAACTAATGAAAAAAGTGAGGTTGTGTTTCAATGTTGTACAGAAATGTGAGGTTGTGTTTCAATTGTTTCACCTCCAGCACCGGTCATCGTCATAGAATTCTGAAAACTGCCCCTCGAAATGAACTCGATTTTTTAATTATTCAAGGGCACTGGCAGAAGAACAAGCTAGGCAACAGGCGTTAGCTAAGAAGGAGGAAGCAGCGAAAAAGGCAGAGTTGGCTAGGCAAGAAGAGCTAGCTGCTCAAGCTGCAGCAGAAAGAGCTGCTGAACTGGACAGACGAGCTGAGTTAGCTAGGCAAGAAGAATTGGCTAAGCAGGTAATTCATATTTTCTCATTTGTCATCAATGACCCAAGAATATTTGAAAATACAATATAATTCAAACAAAAGCTGAGGATATTTATTTTGATTAATAATTTGACTCATAACTATTCAGAGATCCGCTTTGTGACATAAACAATAATAATCACTCCCACTGGTAATTGCCACTATTAGGAATAAGAATAAGGTGAATTATCAGTGTCACTTTCTTTATTGCTGTCACTCTGAAAGATAATCACATCCTAAATACTCGCAATTCTGAGTTATTCAAGTCTCCATCACTTCCAGGCTGAAATCGAAAAATCCAGAAAGCAAGAAGAAGAACGCCAACAACAAGAAGAACAGCGCCGCCTTGAAGAAGAAGCTCGTGCAGAAGAAGAACGCAAGCAACTCCTCCGCTTGGAAGAAATCGCGCGACAAGCAGAAGAAGAAAAGGAAGCCGAACTAGCTCGGCAAGCCGACGAGCTAGCCGAACTGGCCCGACAAGAAGCGGAGCTGGCCGAGCAGGCCCGAATCGAGGCCGAAGCGGCTGAACAATCCCGACTGGAAGCAGAACTGGCTGAACAATCCCGACTGGAAGCGGAACTGGCTGAGCTCGAGCAGAAAGAGCGAGAGCTAGCTGAGCTAGCCAGCCAAGAAGCCGAAGCTGCCGAGAGAGCTAGGGAAGAAGCTGAGGCTGCGAGGAGTGCAGCTGATCAAGAGCTGGAAGAGCTAGAGCGACAACAAGCTGAGCTGGACGCTCTAGAAGCCGAAGCTAGGGCCCTGGAAGCTGAACCAGCGATTGAGGAAGAACAACCTGTTGTTGAGGAAGAAGAACCTGTTGCTGAGGAAGAACAACCTGTTGTTGAGGAAGAAGAACCTGTTTCTGTGGATGAACAGCCTTTGGAGGTAGCTGAGGAAGAGGAAGAAGATGAGGATGCTAGGCGACAGAGGGAGATGGATGAGCTGGTTCAGCAGAAGTTTGAGCAGGCTCAGATGGAGAAGCAGATGGTTGACGATGACGATGAGGACGAAGAACCTGCAATTGCTGAAGACACACCCGTACAGTCTGACGTTGAAGAATGAGACGATTATATTTTTTGTTCTGTTGATTGTTGAAATTGTTTTTAGGTTAGGTTATTGTAAATTGATGTTTCGATGGGCATTTTTTAACGCTTTGTAACTACGCATTTATTTTTTGCATTTCTTTCTTTCCAATTCACACTGATAAGCATGATAATGTGGTCTAATAAAATCTGGGTGAATTAAATCATATCGAAGACACTAACTAGTAATAAAGAATAAGCTATTTCGTTGGTATTGGTTGCGGTTTGTTGTCAACATTACTGAATCAAAAAATGTGAGTTGATCCTAGCTATCGATGGGTAATCAATCAAGGAAAGCTACAGAATATCTGTTTGCAAGAAAATTTTCATACGAATTTTCGTGTTAAACATATTTGATTTAGATATAATTCAGACTCGATTTTTTAAGGTTCCAATTATTTCTTCATAAAACTATATAAGAAGAATAGTTCAATAATATACATCGTGTGAATATTTTTATCTTCAAATCGTAAAGCGCTTTCCATCAAATATAACTTTTTTTTGTTTGATTGATTAAAGTCATAAAATGGATAAGCTAGAGCAGATTAAGGAAATATTTCATCTAATTTAATTTTTTTAGAATTCTAAAGAATGTTTCAATTTGTATATTTCTCATCATGTATTTCCAAATACGAAAGTTGTATCAACTTTCTTCCAATTGATGATGTATCCGAAAATTCTCGTTATTATTATTATAATTTTTATTATATATTGTTTACTATTTATGATGTCCTTAGTAGGTATGTTCATCTATCTCTTCTCCAAATTTTCAAATAAATGTTGATACTGTTGAACAATGGGCTCTTATTTTTAAGAATAAAAAGCTGTATAAGAGGAAAAACCCGAAAAAAAAAGAATTATTTGAGTGGAAGAACAATACTGATATGAATAATTCTCCTCCTTGACTGTCTATGAGTTACTTCCGGTAAAAAAATGTCTCAAAATTTTCAGAAGGTACGTTCATTTTCACATTCTTGGATTCAGGAGATTCCTCATTCATCATAGTACAATTTTAGAGTCATAATTTCATGAGCGTCTATTTTTTATTCGACTTTGAAATCATATCTAGGTGACTGCGTGACTGCCATTTATAGAATGTTTCTTTTTCATTGAAAAATTTCAAATCATAACTTTTCCACTACCATCTTGCATGTATCATCAGCTTTCTGATTGACAATGGATCGAGTCTCCTAGAAAAACTTTGCTGTTTTATATTGGACGAGGGTGGGCCATGTCTTCTTTCAACAAAGAATATCTTTCAATCAATTCCTTGACTTTTGGCACCAATGCACATTTGTGCCATATCCTATATCGGAAATCAGAGAACGAAATCGATAGAAAATCATGGAGAAATGTGAATTTTCACCAGAACTACGCAAAATAAGATGGTCTCTTCGGAAATCAAAAAATCATAAATATACAGGGTGTCACTTGAAAGTCGAAAGTTGAGGTGTTGTCGCACCCTAGATGATTCTAGCAGGTTATACGGCACTATTGAGAACGACCCTTCTATGAGGCGTAACGTAGCTACTCGCTTGGTCTTTAGACTTGATGAGAGGTTTTTGATCATTTCACCACCCAAACACATTCATCCCCAACTGGAGAGTCAATACAGGTTCCATATAAAATTGACATTTATTGATTAAATGGAAAAGTCATGAATGAATGCTGCCACATGGCAGGTTAGCAGAGAAAAACCATAGTGACTTGCCAAATAAAACACAACACAAAATAATTCAGAGAGAACACATGAAAAAATATTACTTAAAAATTATGACGTCTAGCAGAGGACTGACCAGCAGGATTGAAGTCGGGGAGACCGCGAACATTTTGACAACAACTAACTCAATTTCGTAAATCAAATACCGAGTATGTAATGAATGACGAATAAAATAAATTCGAGTTATTGAATCATGAATGAACTAATAATTATTAATGCCATGCCTTATCGATTCGGGTACTATTTATATTTGAAATCGATGTTAGGTGTGCAATGTTCCGCAATGGAAATGGCCGTTACCTGGCCGTATTGCCGTATTGCTTACCTAGATAGTTTCGCATGGTAAGCGGTTTACAAATATTACAGGAACTAAAGTCTATGAACTCCGCTGACCGAAACGAAAGTATACTGTACTGCATATTATAATTTGGAAAGGGTATTTTATGATTGAAGATCTTGAAATGAGAGAGAGTTTAAGTGATGTTATTTCATAGGCATTTGTACTTCTTGACAGTACCTTCTGGTGAAACTGGATGTAACCATTGAGTATTCAATATAATCAAGGATGTAACTTGACGAGGTCAATCATAACAGTGAAGTATTTTGTATATTGAGTATGCAAGTATCAACCTGATAACTTTTTATGGCATTACACATTTTCGAACAACGATTTGTCGGAGGAAATTTTTTACTAGCTATATACAGGTATCTAAAGAGGTCCAATAATGTTTTGCCCATACCAGTGGCGTGACTTCAAATATTTGGCGTGGAGGCAAGATATTTTGAACGGCACCTACTATTCTTTGGTGGATATAAATGTATGTACAACGCAACGACTGCATATGAAAATAAGAGATAAAATAATTAATGTAATACCTACTCTTAACAAATACAACTCGTTTTATCGATGATTATTTGTTTCTCAAAAGCGAAGTGATTTGTTTTCGATGATCATCAATATCTACACTTGTACGTAGGAGACTTTTGCGGGTTCAAGGTCAAATGCGTTCAAATTGAAAAAGGACCAGAGTGATTATAGGATTCACCTACGGCTCCTCCTATAATCATATCTTCAAGGTACTCATCCAGAAGAACAGTACCTATGATCCAGACTTGTTATACGTGAATTAATAGTTATCTCTTTCAATCGCCTTTGATATTTGCTATTATACGTTAAAGTATTAAGTATTTGCGACTTGAGAGCACATTTACGTCAAACAGTTCTCCAATAAATCGAGGAGATAGCTTGAAATAGGAAATCCAATTTAAAAAAGATAATACAGATAACAAGATTCATAAGATTAACTAGGCACGTCGTTTAGAGAATAATTGAATCAGTTCGTATTTGACGGATTGAAAAGGTGATTGGCAAACAAAAAGTAGCTATGCTGATGGAAAAAGTTATGTGAGTAATGTGATTGTGTTTTCATTCACTTACAAATATTTTTTGTTACAATTTGAAATTAGCTTAATTTCGATATAACTCAAAATCAGTGCTTATTCTATGTTGTAACTCTGAATTAGCTTAATTTCTAGTTGTAACTCGTAATTAGTACAGGGTATCAATAGATGTCTTCTATATAGAGCGATATCTTGGACATTATATCCAAAGGACTAAATAGAGAACCAATATGTCACGACTATATCAGAAAGGTACCGATTTTCTGAGAAGTTCAAGAATAAAATTCCGATTTTATTTCGAAACGATAAAGACGTAGTGAATGACGTATATAAAGAATATATTGGAGATTCGAACCATTCTTTGAAATCATCTGAAAGAAAATTGGACTTGAAATTTCTGGATATTCTGGAGTGTAGCTACACAGTGGGTATCTGATTCATTGTGAATGGGTAGTTGAACTCTTGATAGGATGAGAGCAAATTTGAAAAAAAAACTCTGTTCTGATCGATAACATGTCTCTGCCTCCAAGACTTCAGATCCCCTTTGAATAAAAATATGGTATTCCACTGAATTTCCGTAATTCTGATTCCGTTTATGTTGAATGAATCCTGAAATTATGATTGATTGATCAGTATCATAAGAATTCTAAATATTAAACCACCCTGTGATTATTCCAATTTGATGTCAGTAGATAGTGAATCAAAAGTTAAGCTATGGACGTGGAAGTCGTTCTGACCGATAATGAATAGTTTCGACACGAAAAAATCCTAAAGTTGAAAAGGTGGTATGTTGCCGTACCACTGGTCCTCTCTGACGGAATAGTGGTGTTGCTGGGCAACACAATTTCGGGTACAATGGAGCGACAGAATTATCTCGTGATATTATTCATTGAAAATTCATACCAGTCATTTTCAACCTATCAGATGCTTTATTACATTGTCACTATGGTATAACTAGTTAGTGTGGTACACTGACGGTTCTAAGACTGATGAGGGTACGGGAGCCGGAATATATGGAGATAGACCCAGAACCAGGATTTGTGCTTCCTTGGGGAGGTATGCTTCAGTATTCCAGGCAGAGGTGCATGCTATTGAGGCATGCCTGAGAGAGAATATTGTAAGAGGATACAGAGGTAAACAAATCTTCATATGCTCAGATAGTCAGGCGGCCATTCAATCTTCAACATGCAATAAAATCAGATCAAAACTGGTCTGGGATTGCCTTCACAGCCTGCTAAACCTGGCTAACCACAACAAGGTAACTCTTCAATGGGTGCCAGGGCATAAGGGAATTGAAGACAATGAAGCAGCTGACGATCTTGCTAGGCAAGCGTCTGCGGCGTTGTTTATGGGACCGGAACCTGTGTTCGGTATCCCCAAAACCTCAATACGCGGCTGGCTGGCAAGGTGGATGCAAGAAAGACATCAGGCATACTGGAACAATGTCCCAGGATAACGACACAGTGAACTGATGGTTGGAACACTGTCCAAAACAGTGACTAACGACATTCTGAGCCTAAACAGAAATCAGATCAGACAAGTGACGGGACTAATAACCGGTCACTGCCCCTTGAGGAAACATATGCAACAAATGGGAATCTATACAGACGAACCCATGTGCAGACTATGCAATGAGGAGGAGGAAACTGCCACCCATGTAATATTGGAGTGCGAAGCACTAGCGCGTTGGAGATACAACCTTCTGGGAGCAGTAAACTCTCAAGAGGCCTTTCCAAAGAATGATTTGGTGAAGAGGCTGCTAAACCTTATCAAGGTAGCGAACCTGTTCACCTGAGTCAACAGCATGATCAGGAATACAATAGGCCCAAAGGCTGCAGTGCTTTGGGCTTCGAACCCTGACTGATCATTCTGCTATTAATCAATCAATCAATCAATGGTATAACTAGCAATTTTTTTGGAAAATTTTCATGCACGTGAGGATGTAGACCGTCCGTAGTAATCTTTTCTGGCAGTTCTTTGAGTTGAATTACCTAATGGCAAAAAAATTCGAATTATGAATGCCAAGTTTTCGACTAATAAAAAAGCTAGAGTGTAATTCGGTAAGACAATTTGATTCATCAAACATTTGTTTATGGCTGGGTTGTCATGCTTTCAAAAGTACGGTTCCGTTATTGTCGCTGGAAAAGTTAGGGCAAACTGTTTTCGCTGTCATAATGACAAAATCACGCGGCTTGTGGGATTTTTCACACATGATTTAAATTGTCAACAACAAAAAATCTCGAAAACGTTAAGACTTGGAATTTTGTCATTTGCAGGTGAGTCATCCTTTGATCTACATTCTCCCTAGGTTTGACGTGGTCTTTACGGGACACCCTGTATATCAAAATCATAATAAACTCCTTGAACACCCTGTATATTGAGAACACAACCAGAGTTTGACACCCTCCTGAAGAATGGGATTACAAATTATTCGAATACCATCATGAGCCGCAAAAAACCTGTTTCGCTCTATGCCTTTCCCTTCCTCAGGAAACTATCAATCTCGGTCGAATAAATAAACATTATCATTCAATAGAGTTTATTCTTTCGCCGATCGACATTGGGAATTTGTGACGCAAACGGTTGAATTTTTCATTTCCGGCTATTAAAAATAACGGTAGCGCTGATCATTTATAGTCTATTTAGAAGCAATCAGAATAGTTATAAGGGA